ACAATGCGATAACAATGCCACTCGCACTGTGCACATTTTAGCACTAGATCTAGTGCCATTTTAGCACTAGATCTAGTGCCATTTTAGCGCTAGATCTAGTGCCATTTTAGCACTAGATCTAGTACTTTTTCGGATTAGTGCTACTAGCACTAACCACTCGCACTACGCCCATTTCGACACATTTACATACATGCATTCCTGGCCCAAATTCACCTCTGATTTGGCACGTTTTATAATGCTAATGCTAATGTTGACAACGATCAAGAACACCAATGGCAGTGAGCGTATTTAATAGCAACTGGTAGAGAACACATACAAGTTTTGTAAATTAATTACCATAATAGTGCTGCACTGTGGAAGTTTAGTCGCGTTTGACCTAATACACAGGAACACACTCAAGGTGGGAAATATTTAGCCACAATCTTCTTCTGCACCTTGGTGAATAATTGTGGGGACAAATATTCCCCTTTTTTGTCTTTAGTAGTGTATTTTTTGCTACAGTGACTTGAAATATTCACCTTCATCTAAATGTGTTTGTTTTCTAGGTTGCTATGGTGACCAGAAGCCGCAGATCAGCTGGTCTCGTATCTTTTTTGAGCAAGCAGAGAGGGAGATAGGTAAAGCATGTGCTTTATTGCTTTGCCAATCAGTAGAATGCGTGAAGAAAGACGGGTTCATTCAAGTTATTCTAGGTCTTGATGAAGAGTCACAGTTGAATATAAAACAGATCATCGAATTTGTTCTAGTGGGATCTCCTGCCACCAGTTTGAGACCAGACTTCGCTGACATTTTGGATCAACCATGTTATGCCAAAGGTATGTGCATGTGCAGTTTGTTGTTCTTCCCTGCAAGGGGTTAGATGGCTAATTTGTCCCTTCCACGTTCATCCCTAAAGATGTTTAACTGTAGCATTGTGCAAAAGTTATCCTGCCAACTGGCATTTATCCTTCTAGCCTATGTTCTTTCGCATTGTTGACTTGGCCAGAAATGTGTTTTGTCTGTTTTCAAACCAATAGTTTGATCTTGTTCTGTTGCCATGATTTTATGGTATAAATGTAATCATGTTATGTAAATTTGATTGTACTATTACAGATACTGTTGCTGCAAGTCCGCAGCTACCATTCTCGCCGATTACCCGCTCTACTACGTCCCAGCAATATTATAGTAATTCACCAACTAGAGAGTTCCTCAACTCTCCGCAAATTGGTGCTAAGGTAAGCTAATTTGGTTTTACAGTTTTATTGCCAAAATATCTGCATTATTTTGTGTTGAAATTTTGCTTTGTTCATGGTTGCTTATTAGTACTGGTTTTGACAATACATCATCATTTGTTGCACTGTGACAATGTGGCCAGTGCATGTTGGCTCAGCTAAGTCAGTGAAAAACTGACAACTGAGGGTTGTCATGTACATGTCAAGTCATAGGGATTGAAATCATGAGAAATCTACAAACAGAGAATACATTGCACAATGTGACTGTGGTATTTATTGTCAATACGACAACAATGACTTGTGTGTGTATACGATTGTATCATGAATATAATTGTAAAGTAAAAGCTATGGATTTGCATGGTACATTTTATAGGAACTATAGAAAGAGATCAGCCACCTACTTGGGAACAAATAAATATTTACATTTCTATATACAAGTTGTTTTCACAAATGGAAATTTGTGCTCATAATAACTGATTGCACGTTTGAAGGACACATATGCCATGTTGTAGGGCTGATTTAGTGATAGCATGACTTATACATCTTGGTTCCCTCTTATCATAATTCTGGGGTATCGCTTGCACGCATCAGTACACAACATTGTATCGTTGAATGTGAATGCCAGCTATCACATTATATTAACAATACTTGCTTTTTCAATGCTGTATCCTCCACAGATTGCCCTTCGCGAGTATAAAAAGCGTATACAAATTTTGGAGCGTGAACTTCGGAATGAGGCGTACTTGCGTCAGGAGAAAGAACAAGAGTTGGAAGAGAATAGAACATACCTGATTGAAAAAGGTGAAATATATTTGTTGTATTTCTGTAATTTGTTTCGTAATTCCATCCATGGTGGCAAAATGGAGTGTTAACTTGAATGTCAAGTTTATGAAGATTTGAATACTGCTCTGTTGAAACTACTATAAAGTGAATTACTTTATGTTTTTGGACCATGTCCACTTCAACACATTTTCATAATTTGAGGGACCGTTTGTGCCCTTTTGTAGAACCTAGTCATTGCGTGTAATTTCACATATTTTAGTGTTTGATTGGTGCATTAGTTGGAGAACTTATGTTTTCCTGTTTGCTGGAATCTATTTTCAAAATGTTTTTGTTTCTAAACAGATGGCAGAATCGAGCAACTTAAAGGTGAAATAAAACACCTGCAGCATTTACGATATATAGAAGACGATCTGAATATCAGTAAACTGGCTGAAAGAGCAGCACAGGAAGAGATTGTAAAGTAAGAACCTTAATTATATTTACTTACGGTACAATTGCCATATACCTCACTGACTTCACCATAGCTATATATGTAAATGACAGTTGTGTCTAAATGGTCAAAATAAGTCATTTTAATGAGCTAAAAAAATGAAATGCAATTTTTGGTTTACATTTGTTTCTATTACATGTATACTGGTACTTTGGTTTAATTTTCACTCGTTGTACAGTACGCATAAACATTTTGTTTAATCAATGCATTTTACACATATGTTATGCAATGCTATATGGTGCGTCAATTATCTAGCTTTGTGGTAGGTCCAGGAATTATTAATTTTACTGTTCCTCATCAACCAATAAGATTGACTGTTGCATACTCATCATTATTGCAGACTGAAAGATAGACTCTCTATTATTGGAGAACTTAAAATGGACATTTCTTCACTCAGAAAAGAAAATGCTAGTCTTCTTGATGAAAGATGTCACCATCAACAATTGGTAAATAATTTTGAATCTATCTTGAATTTGTTCCTGATGATTGCCTGAATTTCAATAACTCTTATGCATGACCCCATGACCCCTAAAGGTCACACATCCTGGCAGTTTCTGGGGTATTTTAGAAGAAGTATTTCCAATATTATATCCCTTTGTTTTCATGCTCAACTGTTTCTGAACTTCAATGACAACTGCATATTTTTCAACTGTAATTGCTATTGATTATAAATTGTACCCCCAGAAGTAGCAGGATGTGTTACGTATATGATTATTTGGTAAACAACTCAATGTTACAACTGTTCTCGGGAGCGAACATTAAGGAGCTTTCACCACCTTCAACCACAGCGCTGAAAACAGCGGTTGAAGATTCTTTAAAAAGCTGAACTTTGGGATAGTTGTTGAAATTCTCCAGGATTGTCTCGTAGTTTCCTTGACTTTAGCTGTTTTCACTGGCTATTCGACTGGCGTTCTACAGCAGATCACGCACATACATTACATGCTACAGTGGTGCACGTCTATGCAACATAGAAAGTTCAATGATGTAGCT